AACTCTTCTCGGACATCCTCTAGTATAATAGCCATAACTTTTCTGCAGATGTCCAAATAACTATTATAATATGTTTCTGGAAACTAGATTCAAAGAGCTACAACTTTCGTTTTTGAATCATCTCAAAATTCATTGTAGATTGAGAGATATGAGCCTCCGAAGTAAGACCTGCGCAACAGAATTTCTTCTTCTTCGCGAACGCGAAGAACAAAATCCCAGAAGCCAAATCCTTCTTCACAAACGCGAGGAGACCCTCGCGGACGCGAAGAACAATACCAGATACCAGCTTCAGCTATTGCAAAACAGCCCGAAATGATCCGAAACCACCCCCGAAATACACCCGAAGCCCTCGGACCTCAACCAAACACGCCAACATATCCCATAACATTATTCAAACTTGTTCCAACCTTCGGATCGCTCAAAACAACATTAAAACACCAAATTTGTATCGGATTCAAGCCTAAGAATTTCAAGAACTTCCAAATTCCGTTTTTGATCAAAAACTCAACCAAACCACGTCCGAATGACCTGAAATTTTGCACACACGTCATAAATGATACAACGAAGCTACTGAAACTTCCGAAATTCTATTCCGACCCCTATATCAAAATCTCGCCTATCAACCGAAGAACGTCAAAATCTCAATTTCGCCAATTCAATCCTAAACCTTCCACGGACTTCTAAAATGCATTCCGATCACGCTCCTAAGTCCCAAATCACCTAACAGAGCTAACCAAATCATAAAAATTTCGATCCGAGATCATATACAAACAAGTCAAATCTTGGTCAAACCTTTCAAGTTTTAAGCTTTAAACTGAGAATTGTTCTTCCAAATTCATTTTGATTAATCCTGAAACCAAAACCAACAATTTACATAAGTCATAATACACCACACAGGGCAAACCATGTCCGAGAACTGGCGATCAAAGTGCAAAAGCTCAAAACGACCGGTCGAGTCGTTACATGTGGAAAAGCCGGACACAAATCTACGGAGTGTCGTGCTCCGAAAAAAGACAAGAAGAAGGGTCAAGCAAACATGGTTGAAAAGCATGATGATGTTGATGACTTGTGTGCCATGCTTTCCGAATGCAACTTAGTGGGCAATCCTAAAGAGTGGTAGATTGATTCTGGAGCCACTCGCCATGTTTGTGCTGTTAGAGAAGCTTTTGCTACTTATGCTCCTGTTGGACCCGATAAGACGCTTTCTATGGGAAATGCTGCAAAGGCCAAGATTGAAGGATGTGGGAAGATATTTCTCAACATGACTTAAGGCAAAGTTGTCATTCATGTTCCCGGGATTAGGAAGAATTTAGTCTCTGCTGGACTTCTTGTTAAGAATGGTTTTAAATGTGTATTTGTATCCGATAAGGTTGTAATAAGTAAGAACAAGATGTTTGTAGGAAAAGGTTACCTCACCGAGGGCCTTTTCAAGCTGAATGTAATGGTTGTTGAAAATAATAATTAAATTTCAGTTTCGTCTTACTTACTTGAGCCAAATGAATAATGGCATATACGTTTTGGGTCATGTCAATTATAAAACCTTGTGGAAAATGATTAATTTGGAAGTATTGCCTAAGTTTGAATGCGACAAATCAAAATGTCAAGTATGTGTGGAATCTAAGTATGTTAAACATCCTTATAAGTCAGTTGAAAGGAATTCAAATTCTTTAGACTTAATTCACACAGATATTTGTGACATGAAGTCAATACCATCTCGTGGTGGAAAGAAGTACTTCATAAACTTTATTGATGATAGTACTCGATATTGCTATGTTTACTTACTTAATAGTAAAGATAAAGCAATAGACGCATTCAAGCAATAAAAAAATAAAGTTGAAACGCAACTTAACAAGAAAATCAAAATGATAAGAAGTGATAGGGGTGGTGAATATGAATCTCCTTTTGAAGAAACATGTTTAGAATATGAAATTATTCATCAAACAACGGCCCCTTACACGCCCCAATCCAATGGGATTGCGGAAAGAAAGAATCGTACATTAAAGGAGATGATGAACTCATTGTTGATAAGTTCTGGTTTGCCACAGAACTTGTGGGGGAAGCCGTTCTTACGGCTAATCGATTATTAAATCGAGTGCCCCATAGCAAAACACAATCCATTCCATATGAAAAATGGAAGGAATGAAGCTCAACTTGAATTATTTTAAAGTGTGGGGGTGTTTGGCAAAAGTGCAAGTTCCTAAACCCAAAAGGGTAAAAATAAGATCGAAAACTGTTGATTGTGTTTTCATAAGATATGCGACTAATAGTAAAGCATATCGATTTCTGGTTCATAAATCAGAAAATCCCGACATTCATAATAATACGGTTATAAAATCAGATAATGCTGAGTTCTTTGAAAATATATATCCGTATAAAAAGGAATGTGAGTCGATTGGTGAAGGATCTAAACGACCTCGGGAAGAAACAAAAGAAAGTACACTTAATCAGGAGGATCCAAGACTTAGTAAACGTCAAAGAACGTCTACTTCATTTGGACCAGATTTTGTGGCTTTCTTATTGGAAAATGAGCCTCAAACATTTAAAGAAGCAATGTCTTCTTCATGTCAATAAATGAATGTGATAAATTTGTGTACATTAAAAATGTCTAAATCACATAGTCATTGTTTGCTTATATGTGGATGATATGCTGATAATGAGTAATGACATTGCCAACGTAAATGCGACTAAACGCATGCTAACTGGCAAGTTTGGGAATTAAGATCGTGAATCTTGCATTAGCAAAGAACAAAGGCCAAAGCATATCACAATTGGATTATGCTCGTGTGTTGGGTTGCTTAATGTAATCATGAATTGAGCTTGTGCTATAAGTAAATTGAGTCGATATACGAGCAATCCAGGTCAATCTCATTGGATGGCAATGAAACGAGTTTTGGGGTATTTAGTACATACCCAGAACTTTGCTGCACTACAGTAAATATGCTATGCAAAAAGTGGATATGTATTCACTATTGGTGGAGGAGCGGTATCTTGGAAGTCGTCCAAACAAACTTGTATTACCCGCTCTACAATGGAGGCTGAGTTTATAGCCTTGGATAAAGCCGGTGAAGAAGCTGAATGGCTCCGGAATTTCTTGGAAGATATTCCATTTTGGCCCAAACTGTTGGCACCAATATGCATACATTGCGATAGTCAAGCGGCAATTGGAAGGGCTGGGAGCGTTATGTATAACGGTAAATCTCGTCATATACGACGAAGACATAAAACCGTTAGACAATTACTCTCTAGAGGAATTATCACAATTGACTATGTAAAGTCAAGTGATAATGTGTCGGATCCACTTACAAAAGGTCTAACTAGAGAGGTAGTTGAGAAATCATCAAGGGGAATGGGACTATGGCCAAGAACAAATCATAGTGGCAGTAACTCTACCTAGAAGACTGGAGATCCCAAGATCTAGGTTCAAGGAGATCGAACAAAGTCATTAATGACGGTTCAACATTGTCAACTAAACTTTTGGTCCATTCTCGTGATGAGACAATGTTCAGTACCAAGGATAAAGCATTAAGGCTTTTTAATGATTTCTAAATTTTATACGGGGTATATCAAATAGTGTATCTACGGAATGACACGTTTAGGAATCACCTATGTAAGTGTGAAGTATTAGCCGCTTCAAGGAGAATTTTGCGAGGCCAGTTCTCTATGCACTTATGAAACCAGGCGGTGTTCATGGCTAAAACGAACATAACAATGAGAACCAAAGACGGTTAAGGGTTGGTTGTGTGACTTGTGGTTGTCTAGGTATACACCAAAGTTTGACTGTTCAAAGATATCAAATTTACCGATTGATCGAGTATATCCGACATAAGTTCACTACGGAAAGTTCAAAGGGAAACCTGCTTATCCAAATTCAATTAATCCTTGCTTGCGAATCACACAGTTTTTCATGCATACTTCTGTGATATAGTCATTCCCCATTCATGTGGGGAATTGTTGGGTTTTAAGCTATTAATGCTTAAAATAGGGTGAATGATAAATGAAGGGAAAAATGAAATATTTGAATAATATTTGAGTTTCCCTCCTTGATTGTCCCATATGGGAAGAGAAAAAAGTTTTTGATGGGTATATAAGCAATTGCTCTTCTTCTAGCTCATAAACAGTTGAGAAGAAGGCAAGCCTCGCGCCGTCGTCGTCGCTCGCTCGGCTCGGCTTCGTCTTCGTCTTCGTCTTCGTCTTCGTCTTCGTCTTCAATAATTTTTGGATTAAATATTTGGTTTAATAACAAAATATTTAATAAATATTAATATTAAATCCAATTCAGTTATCCAATATTCAGTTTTCTGTTTTTGTAACAGAAAATTAACTACCCTTCAATTTCCCCTCTTTATTGTTGAGTAAATAGCCATTTATGTTATGGCATTTTTTCTCTGACCGTTTTGCAAAAACAGCCATTCTGAAGAGTTGGATCTCTTCAGATTTCAGCCCAATTTTGGCTATGAATACAAGTCAATTCTCTCAGATTATCCACACGAATTTTCTGAGTTCTCCTTTCTCCTGCATATTTTAACTTCAAAGAAAGCAACAGTAAGTGTAATTTGCTACTTAACTTTGTGTTCGCCGAAACACTGGGTTTGAAGTACCACTACACTAGTGTGTAATTCGTTCTATCCTGGGAGGAAATAATCCATAACCTTGGGTAATAGGAGGGGATTAAATTCCTTAAGGAAATACAGTGAATTCAGTAGGCTCGAATTGATTTTTTTTTATTTCTTTACATTTCTACTTATGTTATTTTATTTTCTCAAGAATTATTTTACAAATACAAATTACTAACCATCACTAGATTGTAACGTAACCAAACAAACAAGTACCACGAAGCTAAAAACAGTTCTTTAAATGTATTTTGTAAATTTTTCTATTTAGAAAATACACCAACAAGGAAGCTTCGGTCGTCGACCTTTCGAATCGACTTTTTTTTTTAATTAATTCTCTACTTCTATTACATTGGAAGATGAGGAAAAAAGAAAAAAGACAAACAATAAGAATTCAATTCAAACTTATTATGTGAAAAACTCCACCAGAATCACTAGACTACACTCTACTCTTGGTGGTGAATGTCAAAAAAGACCAGCCTAAGAGTAAACCAAACAAACAAATGCACGAAGAAAAAAAAAAACAGAAGTTAAACAACAAGATTTGGTTGCTAAGAAGGCAATGCCATAGCGTTAAATGTCAATATCACGGGTTTGTTACAAAAGAAACAAATAACAAATAGGAAATCATGTGAATTTCCCAACTTTTTCTATAGAGCTCACTTCTCTTCCCAAAAAAGGCCCAAAATGGAGGAGCAAAACATGTACAACTATGAGATGGTATACACACAAAAGAAAGTTCATAGGGTGTCAAAAGATTAATGTCCGAGGCTGGTCAATTAGAGAGCAAAAAATTATGTATCATAATCTATCCTCTGTTGTTACCCGATCTTGGGTTGCTTTGATAGAGGCTGTTGAGATACTGATGCTGCTGAAGATTCTGGTGTTGATTGAATATCATGGCCTGTAACTAAAGAAGATGGCACTGACTGTGTCAATGAATCGTCTTGAAATTTTCTCTTTCTTGAACTTCCTTCTTTGATCCTCTTATCTGTTTCTTCGTTATCCCCCTCGCCTCTCAGTATGAAGTTTTTGAGACGTTTAACATCAGACAGCTTAACAGGCTTCAGCAGAAATTCTTCTGCCCCTTCCTCCAAACATCTAGTAGGAAAACAACATACTCAATTAGAGGGTCAAAATTACAACAGAAATTGTGCTAGACAATACAGGCTCAACAGCCAAACATATGTTACTACTTCAGTAGCAACATATGTCCTTCTGAAATTCGAGATTTGTATTCAGACAATCAGACCAACTACTACAAATCCAATTTCTTCAATTCAATAAGCTAAGTAACAATTGATAAACTAATCCAACTCATGGGCACATTAGCAACATATTCGGTCAAAACTATCACAAATAAACGAAAACAATTGATGGTGAAAAGAGGATGTACCTATCAATGCGAGGTAAAATCTTTTCCGATGACATAATAACAACGGGGATCTTGCTCAATGCCGATGATTCCTGCTCAACAATAAGGAAAGGTTATCATTCACCATTACTGATCTCAAGAAGCAACAACAGATAGGCCTAATATAAAGACATGACATGGAACAAACTAACCCCATCAACAACATACCTTGATTTTTTTGAGTAGTTCATATCCAGTCATCCCAGGCATAGAATAGTCTGTCAGTATCAGATTTACCTTCAAACCCTGAAACCCAAAAGATTGAAAATTTCATTAATACAAAGTATCAATAGTCATTAGAGTAAAAACCCATAAAATAATGCTCACAAAAGGAAAAAGAAGTTATGGCTATTCAATTTCAAAGAATATATACACAATTTCATCTTACGCACAAATATAGAAACAATAATCTGCCTAAATATACTTACATCAATCCCCACAGAGGTCTTCTCTCCATCTAAACCCAAATATTGCAAAGCTCTCCTTCCACTTTCCACAGCCGTCACTGCAAATGCAAAATACCACATTCTAAGAATTTCTAATCAAAAAAAGCAAATTTTTGGGCTGTTGAAACTGTTAAAAACCAACCTTTACAAGAAGAAATCTTCAGCAATCGCTCAATAACCTTCCGATCAACATGGCTATCATCCACAGCAAGAACATGCAACTCATCTGCCATTTTCTCCATTTCTATTACCAAGAATACAAATACTGGGTCTCTGTTTCAAAATAGAATCGAACTAAGAAAAAGGTTGTAAAAGCGAATATATAAGGAATAAAGGATGGTTCTATTTGGTCATGTGGAGGAAGTGGATATAGTAAAGGAAGAAATATAGTAAAAGACTGAAGAAGAGATACTGAAAGATCTTAGCAAATCTACATCGCATTATCCCACTTGTCCCCTATGCTATCCCACGCTATTATTAAATTCGATTGTTCCTGTTGTTTCTTGAGAGATGGGATTTGCTTTTAGTCGAAGGTATCAGACAAAACATACTGTTTACTTCTCTCCACTGTAACGTATCTCATTATACTAATTCTTCTGTCGTGCTTGTTTGTGGGGTCAGGTGCCATAAACACTGTTTGTGGTCACTAACTTTGACCCGTGTGGGGTCACTTCCTTTGACCGTGTCGTTTTCTTTTAATGAAAATAAAAAACCCAGGTAATAACCATAATTGGAAAGTTAAAATAATAAGCATTAATACGCAGGTAAAATTAATACTCCGTTTGTTTTAATTTTAATTTATGTAAATTTATTTGACTAAGTACGGAATTTAAGGAAAAAGTGAAGACTTTTGAATTTGTGGTGCAAAACGAGACGCATATATTTTGTGTGACTATATAAATTATTTCTAAATATAGAAATGATCATTCTTTTTGACATGGACTAAAACGGAAATAATTTCATATAAATTGAAACGGTATAGTAAAATTAAGAATGAACATAAATAGAAGAGAATATTGAAGAAAAGAGGCGAGTTTCTTCTGAAAATTGAACGGCTTCAAGAACGTATTGTTTTCTTATTACTCCCCGTTTCATTTGATGAAACTCTATTTAATTAGTCACGAAGTCCAAATTTTTTGCCATATTAAACATGTCATAACATAACATCATTTTTTTTTGAAAAAAAAGAACAACATAAACTAATACAGAGAAAGTAAATGACTTCACATTATTTTTACACCCTCCGTCTCATATTATTATTCGTAGTTACTAAAAATAATTGTCTTAAATTATTTGTCATTTTAGAAGTTCAAGATAAACTTGATTATTTTTTTCCTTTTTTACCCTTAGTAATAATTGATCTTGAAGATGGAGATAACACATAAATAAAATAAATATTCAATGAAGAGAGTTTTTTTCTTAAGACATAAATAAGAGTAAAATCGTCTAATCGCATTCCTAATTAATGTTTCTTAAGGGCGTGAAAGAGAAAAACACGACAGAAAATTTGAGATAGAAAGAATAGCTTTAGTATTCATTGAACTTTAGGGTTAGATAAAGCAGTAATTAATTACGCACTTATTGGATTACAATATTAATTTCTCCTATTCAAAAATGGAATGCATTGTAACTATAAAATTAAGGGGAAAATGTTATAGAACTATGACACTTTGTTTTCATTATGTAGTATATAAATATAATTTTATATGAATGTTAATTTGCTCAAAAAAATTATCCAAATATTTAATCACCCCCAATTTAATCTAATAATAAGGCCACTGATTAGGGGTCTACAAAGGAAACCGACAAATCGCACCAACCCAATAATCCGAATCAAACCGAGAAAAAAAATTCGACTGTGGGTTGGTTTGATTTGGTTTGGTGTTGGAAAAAAAAACCCGACCCTAATTGATTTGATTTGGTTTTAACTAAAGAAAGTCAAACTGAAACCAAACCAACCCGACGTTACATATATAGAAATTTTAAATATATTTAATATATAAATATACTTATTGTGATGTAATTTATTAATATTTCTTAAAAAAGTTTCATAATTTTATCTTTTAAGTTACTATTTCAATGTTGGAGATGGAACTTTTGAATGTTCCAATAAGTTTTATAGTCACTAACATTAGTAAACTAAATAATGCTAACAAAATTCTAAACCAAAATCAAATCAGTGCTAATGCTAACAAAAGATATTCAATTCAATACTATGAACGGGAATGTATTGGATATCTATTTTTTGTTTTGCAATAATTTAGATAAAAATGCATAACTTATTATGGCTTTTTAATTAGCAATATTTATATTACATAATTTTATTGTCTTTATTGTTGAATATTTTAGGATAATGCCATGACACATCTCATAGTTTGTATTATTTTCTTGAAAAATACTTTATATAGTTGTATCTTACTTGGATTAAAGAAATATTTTGAGCACAATTTATATATTTGCTCTACGAAGATTTTACAGGAAAAAAAAAAACCCGAAAAACCCGAAAATCCGAGAAAAACCGAGAGTGAAAAATCCAAGTTTTATTGGTTTGGTTTGGTCTTTAGATTTAATAACCCAACAAAATGGTTTGGTTTGGTAATTGTAAAATCCGAACCAACCCGACCTATGTACACCCCTATCACTGATTATACAATGTTGCTAAGATATATTCATATATACTAGTATGGATCTTTTTTACAAGTATGGTTAATCATCTTCAATCTAATCGTTGGATGGCCTATATATTGGTTTGGGTAATAAAATTTATGTAAAAAGGAAAAATTAATTGACCATCTGTCATCAACTTAAATATACTTTTCAATGCTTTTATAACATTTTTGTCGGAGTTTTGAAAAAAAAATCGTCTATTCTTGTTTGGAAGTACACAACAGATCGAGGAACCATTCAAAGTTTCAAACCAAACAAACAAAAAAGAAAGAGGGAATTAGAATCCTCTCTTTTCCACTGTTAATATTTGAGTGAGCAATGATCAAAGCCTGTGATGCACGAAACGGCAAGAACCTGTTGTTTAGGTTATATTAATTAACTTTGATATATACGTATTTTCCAAGTTGCAAGTTTGAAGATTTAAAGATTATCAAAACCTACTGTCTACCACTAGCAAGTTGTATGCTGTGTGCGACATGTTTTCCAATAGAGATAGTGGTCCATTTGCAATCCTAGCAACATAAATATTGTTTTGACAATTGAATATACATGCAGCGACAAGATTTAACAATTAATTTAAAGATCGTTTAGCAAAGACTATCCCACCAAATCTGATGGAAGATAATCTGATTTTGTCAAGGCTCCTATCCAGCCTACTACTTAATAAGTATTTGGTTGTCATGTGGGGATTTATTAACAATTCAAGTTTTAACCTGCTACTTAGTGCTCATTGCACTCTAATGAATCATTAAGAAATTTAGGCATTTTATAGCGAAACGTAAGATGACAAAGAGAGAAGCGAATCACGATTTATTATTTTTTTTGGACAAGGAAGCAAAGTCAATCGAACAACTGTGTTCAATTCGAATTATATTATCTATATATCGTAGATCATAGTAACTTTATTTTCCCTGATTTTAGAACTTTTTGTACCAGTCTTTGCGTGTGCAATTAATACACAAAAATGGTTATACGTTTTTACCGTGAAAATGGATGTTTAAATTTCTTAATTTTGGAAATATGACTAGTTTAGTAGTTAATGTTCACATATACAATTCAACCTTCAATAGTTACTCGATTTGAATGAAAAAAACAGTAACCACTCTGAAAAAAGATGTAGGAAGACAAATTAGGTGAGATTTAGAGTTAAAATAAATAATAAAAAAGGCAAAGGATAAATAAGAGCATGAGTGATTTTATTTTGTGTCTCACACAACTTACACTAGTTGTGTGTGGCCTCTTTTTATTTCACATATTTGTGGACCCATATCTTACACATTAGGATCCGCAAAAATTCTAGAACTACATAGCTGTGAGACAAAAAAAAGGCCTCATACAGCTGGTGTGAGGGGTACAAAATAAAAATTTTCGGTTGACTATAATTCAAGGTGTTTACAGTGGTTGAATTGTACTACTACTACTTTTTTGCGTAAAAAATTTTAATAGTGAAAAGAGGCGGCGTCAAAAATAGTAAAACCGCCTCCAGCATTGGACCGAGTCAAGTCCGATCTCACATCAGATATCTATTCGCTGCCAAAGCACCAAATTGATTCGGCAAATATATTCAACAGTCACCTCCATTCTCTCGCTTCCCAACAAATCTTCAATTTAAATCTCCGTACATTATTCGAAATTTCTACTCCTTCCGTCCTAATTACTTCACACTATTTCTTGCTTAATAAATTCGTTCCAAGCAACAACAACAACTACCCAGTAAAATCCAATCAAATGAGATCTGGGGAGGGTAATGTATACGCAGACCTTACCCCTACCCCGATAGGGCAGAGAGGCTGTTTCCGATAGACCTTCGGCTCAGAAAGATGAAAATAAGAAAAATAAGAAAAGACAATTCATTAGTAACTCCAGTAGAAATCGTAATAGTAACAGTAGCATAACAATTAAAATTCGTTCCAAACAATTATATACAATTCTAAGCATTAAATTAAATAATGACACAAATATAATGCACCATTTAAGACCACAAATGTTGAAACTTTCATAAACTTAAATACTACTCCTCTCGTTTTAAATTATGTTAACATATTTCTTTTTTACTTCGTGACAAAAAGAATAGCTCAATTCTATATTTGAAAACAATTTCCTTTATGCAATTATTTATAGTCACACAAAATATGTGTCTCATTTTACACTACAAGTTCAATATTCTACTCATATTTTTTAAACTTCGTGTCAGGTCAAATAGATTTACATAATTTGAAACGAAGGGAGTATGACATATTCAAAAAATTAAGTGCCATAAAATACTTTTTAAAACTTTATGCCAAGTCAATTATATCTATAATTTGAAATAAAGGGAGTATTAATGTTTGTTAACATTTATATGTTAGTTGTCTAATTAATTTAAGAATAAAATTCATATTTCTTATGTCATGTGAAACTTTTTGTATGCGTTAGAAACAGTTTGAAAAGAAAAAGAGAGGAATAAAGAAGAGAACAAAAGGAACTCCAAGCAAGACGGAGAGATATGAGAGGACAAATCAATCTGAATCTTTTTGATCTTCCATCAAATCAGAAAATCCCTTAAACGAAAAAGAAAAGCAACCTTTTTTCCAATTAAGTAAACTTTGGATACGACTTCAGATTGCAAAAGATTCGCCTGAAAACCGCGGAATCCCAAGTAAATCACTTAGCTAAGATTGAACCTTTCCGTACTCTCTAAGTAAAGCAAAGGCTTTTACTTCTTTGACAGTAAAAAGTTAAGATATTGTCAATTACATCTACAGCTAAGAAGTAACACTACTTGCTATACCTACGGTTTTCATAGCTTCTGTTGTCACCAGGGTGGACTGATTGAAATTTATGTTACTGCTACTATGACTTCTGTTGTTGCAGTTTCCTCGTAAATGGAGGAGCTAACTC